AACACAATCTGAAGTTATTGTAAAGATTCTTAAACGTCCGTTATTTCCAATTTCTGAAAAAGCCGAAGGAACTGAGGGAATAAAATTTTTTAGGTTTTGATACATATATTCAGTAAGGAAGGGTGTAAAGGAAGCCTTAAATAATATCAATAAGAGAAGTTAGTTGCAGACTTGGGTACTGTAATATTAAACACATAAACATTTTACCATAGCGCGGCACAGGGTATAAAGAACTTCAAAAAGTGTATTCAAAGCACACATGGTATCTTCTGGGCCGTTTTCACCTTTCAAACGTTTACGGTTGAATCTAACATACCAATTGGTCAATTGCTCTATAAGACCTAATAGCCTTGGAACAACAGTGTAGAGTCGATAGGCTTTAAAGGTATAGCAATTATAGTTTTATTATCTTAAAAATTTTTACTATCAAGTATTTTTGCACAAATTAATGCTTTACCTTCCATTTCACCGCGCATAAATTTAATAAGACTTTGAGTACAGGCCAGTATCCACCTGTCCATGACATTGGATGATTTTTTTGCATTAGGGTTATATTTAAATTCTATTTCGGTTTCCTTATAAAATTAAACCTGATTATTAGTTAACATTAGCATAAATATAAATATATATATATATTTCGTGAATAACAACCTTCTTGAGAAGAATCACTTGAGACGCAAAGAAACGATATGCGTTATACCAAGGCAAAAAAACCTTTGATATAACTTCCTTAACACCATCTTCCTTAAACCTCAGCGGTTCAGCGCGAACAACCGGAGAATTAATAAGATACAACCTAAGAAATAAAGAGAATTTGTTTATTTAAATGCAAAATAAATATAAATAAAAGACACATTCTTTTGGATGTACCTCAAGGCATCCGCACCGTATGTGTTGATAATAGACATCGGTTCGGGATAGTTCTTTAGACGTTTACTCATCTTTTTTCCATCCCTATATTTACATAAATTTTTTAATTTAAGGAAATATATAAAAAAAAAAAGCGAGGATTTGGTTTGCAACTTACGAGGCCAATACTAAACCGTTAACGATTAAATTCTTAAATGCTGGCTTATCAAAAAGGTGTGTAGATAACACCATCAAAGTATAAAACCATCCGCGAGTTTGGTCAAGTCCTTCGGCAATAAAGTCCGCGGGGAAGGAAGTCTCGAACTTTTCTTTGTTTTCAAAGGGGTAATGACTTTGTGCGTATGGCATACTGTCATTTAAGAAAGCACAAATTTCAGAAATCACTATGAAAATAAAAAATATGCTATAGCATCATAACGCATACCTGCCAGACTCAAACCAACAATCAAATACTTCTTCAATCCTTCTCAGAACACCTTTTCCTTTTTGTGAAGGAATTGTGATATGATCAATTTTATCACGATGAATA